CTTTATTCTTCAGTCTGAACAACTGGGCCATTTTACTTCATTGTTTCCCACATCTGGGCTAAAATGTATCTATTTTGAAAATGGGAGAATAGCTTATATATAAATGAAAAAAAAATGTACCAAATTTCATCCTTACTTATTTTGCTTTCATCTGAAACAATTATGTTGCTGGAGGCATTACTGGTTTGCATTGCTGTACACATCTTGAAAAAGCAACAGCATCTTTTTAGAGGACATGACACTTTCAGCAGTGATGGCAGAAGCAGGAGAACCTATGACAATTCCATCTCAAACTGCTTTTGCTGTGTTGCTCTAACTGTCCCAGCTTTTGTTCCATTTTTGTTTTTAGGCTGACCACCCAAGAACCACACCACGTAGATTTGGCCTCAATCTTCACAGCTTGCTTTCCACAAAGAAATCATGTGCCTGAGAAAGGGAAGCGTGGGATATGAGACTTTATGACCAATCAGCTATGTTTTACAGCTTCGGGTTCAATCATATAAATACAGGCTCACACTGTATATTGTATAACATGTATATTTATCTCTGTTTGATTCAGATCACATTCTCTAAACAATGATAAATACTTTTTGGGTGATTGACATACCTTAGCCAACTCCTTTTTTGTGAACTTGCTAGAAATACAATAAATAAGATAATCTATAATCATAAAAGATGAAAATTTGGGAGGGATCCAGATGAGTTACTATAATATGTGCTATGTTCATATTTCATGCCATGTCCTAATAACTCTTAGCAACATCCATCTGGTAATTAGAGAAACTCTTCTCCAATCAGCTATCATCCCATATTGACAATCAACCCTTCTTATATTTGTTGCTAAGTGATTTAACAGTAAATTCGCCAACACAGTAGATAACTCTAAAATGGAAAACAAGTATCTCAGGTTCTTAGGTTTCATGGCTCAATCTCCACTTGAATCCAGGGTCTGGTTTATGACAGCATCCTTAGCAACATTCTGAGGTCTTGTGTGCTAACATCGCCACCTACTGTTCACTCCAGGTACAAACTGCCATATCTCAAGGCAAAGGCTATAGACACTTTGAGTAAGAAACAGACTCTTTGGTGATGGGTATTAAAGAGGGCACGTACTGCATGGAGCACTGGGTGTTACACGCAAACAATGAATCATGGAACACTACATCAAAAACTAATGATGTAATGTATGGTGATTAACATAACATAATAAAAAAAAAAGAAACAGACTCTTGAGCCTTGGGTAATCAACAACCCCCAGCAGGATTAAAAGGTAATCAATTTCACTCCTGAATCCAAAGAGCAAAAGCAGTGGGGTAGTCTTGTCAATGTGGATTATTAGGTGCTAATTATATTTTATTGAATTTCACAAATTGAAAATATATTCTAGATTTTTTTGTATGTTTTGATCTCTGCTGTATCCCCAACATTTACAACAGTACCTGACACACAGTAATTGTTCATTAAAAATATCCTAAAGGAATTAATCCCTTAAGAAGAAGGGCAATTATTCACCACACTGCTTAGAGACTTCACTAAAAGAAACTATTATGACTTTTTTTCTAGTAAATAAGAATATCCATATCTAAAATTGATAAAGAGAGGGGAATGAATTGAAATGAAGGGAAAGGGGGGAAAAGGGAGAACTTCCAGATGCAACAAAAATACCAGCAATTTATGACAAAAATCCAGATTAAAGAAAGAAATATATGTGATATGGAGGCATTAAAAGTAGTCCATTCTGAAGATGAGATTATGACATCCTTTTTATTTTACAAAATTTTTAAAAAGTGAAAGCTGTATTTTTAAAATCATACACTTCACTTTTTACTGAGCAAATACTCAAGCTGTGACATTCAGTCATTCATATATTACCCATGACACTAGCACATTTTCTCACAGTGGTTTTTGGCATAAATATTGAAGGAGAATATTGACTCAGCTTTAACAAATTTGGAGTAAGAGGTTGTTTGCTGAACAAATAATTCACTTATCAAGAATGGAATTGGTTTTCAAAGCAAATATCATTTTTTAAAGCACTGACTTCCTCTTTCTTTCGTGGTGCTATATATTTTGGGAGAGTCACTAGTGCTCCTGCCCATCGTTATTGGTGTGCCAAGAATGCCTACCACTGACCCCTCTTTATTTGGACCATTTCTCAGTGTTGGATTTGCAGCCAGCAACCTTCAGAGCTGAGGAAATGTCTCCTTCTGAGACAAACAGCAGGCTGGATTATTATTTGCCATCAAACAGAAGATGCCCCAAGCTTAGGGTTCCCCTCCTGGATCACCACCTGTTGCACATGCAGTCACCCAGAGGGGCCCATCTGCATCTCCCCCCACCCCCGGAACTGGGACTTGGGAAACTAATATGACATGTTGACATTTAGGTTATTGTTTTTGTAATAAAGTCTTTCAAAACTGACACAGAAGTCATGTGTCTTTTGTGAGCAACCAAAAAACTGTGGTAAATGAGCATGTTATCTTAAAATTTGGGTAAAATTTCAGATGCCTCATAGTTCTTGACAACATTACCACAAATTTACCAACAAAATTACCAACGTGACCTCACACTGACCTTATTAGCGCTGTTAAAAAAAAAACATTTGCCTTTTCATCTAGGGATAGGGATGCTCACAATTAGAAAAACCCAGTGCACTCAAGGTATAGTAAAGTGAATTTTTAAAAGGAAAATTCAGTGCTTTAGAGAGGATATAAATTGAAAATACCCCTTACCTAGTGTAAATGGAATTTTCAGGCTAGAAAAAAAAATTTTAAGGGATTTTTAAATTATATTAATGTTTAAATCCAGCTCTTTGTTTTAACCAGGGTTGCTTATAAGTGTTATGCCAAAAGTTGGGTAAAATGGTGAGAATTTTGTAAAATGTGGAGATGCCACAATATAAATAAAAAAGAAAAATACCATTTACAAGTCTTAAAAAAGAGTTTCCTTTTTTAATTTAAATGGATTTACCCACTACATTATTTCATCATTTATTGCTTCTTTATAATACAATAAATATTTCATTTTAAAAATCATGATTAAATATCCACTTTCCCCACTCTGGTTTCTATTTTTGCTGAGCTAAAGTATCTATCACCTTTCATATTGATTCTTAAATTTGGAGTTAGAAATTACTTCCTTGATGCTTTGAAAAGGGAGAACAAATATATACCTTTCTAAGTGCCACTTGGCTATAGAGAATGCTATAGTGCAGATAATATAGGATGGATAAATCCCAACGGAACTAGTTATAATTTAAATGCCACAGCATTTCAAATGACGAAACAGGGAATCTAGAAGTCAAGTCTTGGGGGTTAAGAAATATAATTTCTTAGGATTCAACCTGAATTGCTATATGAATTTGAGAAAGTAACCATTCCTTTTTTTTTTTTAACTGTTACTATTACAAGAAATGTCATTCTTTTTCCCTCAAGGCCCAGAAATAATGTAAGAAGAAAGTCTCTCTGGGAAGTTACCAGATAATGAGAACAGAGAAAACAAGAGCAAGAGAGTAAGAATTAAGGAGAGAGGGAAACTACATTTTGCAGGGCTGAGACTATAGGGTTTGTTCTAGAAGTGTTGTTTTATCATAGCAACATGTTCTATAATGGTCCCCCTCGAAACGGCATTAACTGACAGGTGACCCACTCATTTTGTAGAATGAGGGCGTAATGTACGTTAGAAAGTCTCTTATTCGAAAACAGGACTGTTGAAGAGGAACTTACCTAACACCCTACCATTTACTTAGTTCAACAGCTCCAGTGACATGCTCTGTTTCTTCTCTTAAAACAAAGAAATCCCAAACAAATAATATTGCCAAATATTTCCTTAATACTTTTTTTACTGTAATTCTAGCACCTCTATTTTGGAATTCTAGTATTCATCCTTTTCAAGTTCCCTATCATAAGGAAGTTCAAAATTAAGGAACTGTTTTGATATATACCAGGACACTGTATTCAGATTGTTGATATCATGACTTTAAATCACAATATACCTACCTTCTGGGGCTTATCCACTCATATTGTGTCACATTGTCCAGTTTCAAAAACATCAGTGACATTTAAGGTATGTAAACAATTCCAGCAGGGCAGTTTGAAGGTATATATTAGATTGGGAAAAGTAGAAGAAATTTTCAAATAATATCACCAGCTTCAGATATACATGTGAGATGGACATGCAGATATTACCACTCACTAAGAGCCACCTGCTCCAATCAAATTAAATGAGTCAACCAGGAGAAGCAGAGCCCTCTCCAACTCAAGACCTGGAGATGGTCCAAAGCAAGATTTCCCCTTAGCTGACTTTAAAAGACAAGATCAAGGCAGGGTAAATCAGGTCAAGGCTATGCTTCTAACCTTGTGGTTTGCATGCAGAAGGCTTGCAATATTCGTGTATCTTTACCTGATAAATGAAAGAGAATTTTTCAAAGGGAAGTATTTTTTGGTAAAGGTTTCAAGGCGTTCTTTTCATCTTGATATATTTTATGATATTTCCCTTACTCCATGAGAAACACTGCAGTGTTGGCACAAGAGTTCCCCTCAAACAGATCAATGACAGCTCTATGATGAAACTCTCATGGGATTTTTTTTTTTAAGATTTATTTATTTATTTGAGAGAGTGAGAATGAGAGAGAGTACATGAGAGGGGGGAGGGTCAGAGGGAGAAGCAGGCTCCTCGTTGAGCAGGGAGCCTGATGCGGGACTCGATCCCGGGACTCCAGGATCATGACCTGAGCCGAAGGCAGTCGCTTAACCAACTGAGCCACCCAGACGCCCTCATGGGATTTTTTTTTACAAGTTAAAGCATAGAGTCTCCTCGTTTTGAGAACCAAATAATGGCCATGATAGGAATACATTTTAAAAGCTCATTTTGGTTGCTATTAATTTTGGAACTCTATACAGAATCTAGACTTCTGTGATGTGCTCCAGCCTACTGAAGCAATGAGTCTCTTACTGGTCTGTCCTGATGACCTAAAATTACCAACGTGACCTCACACTGACCTTATTAGCGCTGTTAAAAAAAACATTTGCCTTTTTTAACCAAGTTTTCCTTTCCACCATGAGCCGATCGCATTCTCCTTGAAGCTGATGCAGTTTCTGGTTAGAGAGCTGTAGATGCTCTTTCTCCACGTAGCCCTTAGACAGCAGAATCCCAAGTGCATCACTCTTCAGCTTCTCAACAGCGGAATTCCATTCCTACAAGAGATCACTCCAGTTTATTTTACCATCCTCCCCTTTGTAAACTCTGATAAGACTCAAAGAACATTCGATGTGTCAGAAACCTGTCACTATGTTTTCAAATGCTACATTCCAGGTTTGAGTATTAAGATGTAGATTAAAAAAAAAAAAGGACAAAGGAAAGAGGCTAGAAAGGGAGCAGGATGATAGCAGGAAATGAGAGGGTGGTTGGGGTGTGTGACTGAAGGAGTGTCTGGTTGCCCCGAACACAAGTCACTTCCCCTTCCATTAATGCTGTCTGAAAACATACCCCCAAAATAGTCAACAGCATTTTTCATTCTCTAACTCATTGCAACCTGTTTTCATTCACTTAAATATAAGAAGTCTATATCCCACAATTCAGTCTTATTGCCAATTTGGGCAAATGTGTACAAGAAAGGAAGGGAAATCTCATATTTTATGGTTGTTGTTTTTGTATGTGCCTACACTTAGAACTGAAATTAAGATCTGTTATTCTCTACAAAATTAATAGCTGTTATTGTGCAGTATTCCCTCCTTCCTGACCCGAGTCTCACCTCTCAATGCTTCATTCTTAGCGGTATATAAACATTTCAGGAAAAGAAAAGAGGTAGCTTTTTACTTTCTGTTACATGAAGAAGAAAAACAGTAAGTAGAGAAGAAAGAAAATAAAAGTTGGAGTAAACTGAACATATTAACAGTTTATTTAAAGGGAAATTTAAATTTCTTGCAAAAGAACTGGAGCCAGATTCAGCTTCATAAAATAATCCTTATCTCTAACACGGAAGTCTTGTGAGTGAATTTTCTGGTACCCATCTCAGCTGAGACCGAGTGGTACTCATAGGCTGTTTGTTACAGCATCAGAAATTTAGCACCAAATTTCAAAAATTACAGTCTGACTCCATCCTGGCTTGTTCCCCAGGGCAAAATGTCTTATTATTAAGTTACATTTGTTATATTACACTGTGCAAAATAAGTATAATTTTAGTGCAATTTACCACTACTATTTCCATTCATTCATTTCAGAAGACATACTAAATGCTGTGCACCTGGCACCATGCTAGGATAGATGGCTTGCAGAATACAAAGAAAGAATAAAACGTAGTTCTTTCCTTTAACACTATAAAACTGCTCTTTTACATCACTTTCATATATACTTACATTATCAACTGTATGAAATATATGCTGGTCCTATGAACACATCCTGATGACTCAACTAATGGAAACAGCGAATGTGTGATTCTTCAGCTTAACTACATCAGTGGTGGTAATGGGAAATAGCACTATCGTGGTTGATCATACTCTCAGCCTTCTGAGAGAATGACCAAAAGTGGGGGGAGGGTTGTTAAAATCAAAAACAATTGGAGACCAGCCCTAAAAACTGCCTGGGCAGACAAAACCAGTTTAGTCATACGAACAAAGCTTAATTTAGCTTATCTTGTGAGACCGACTTGACCTGGTTCATTTCTTGTTTATGCCTCTGGAAATTATAAGCAAAACTTGAACCTTTCCCAAGGTTGATATGAGGTAAGCACTGACCAATTCCCTATCATTTGAGAAGATTCTAATCTTATAACCAATAATTGTGAAGAGGAGGCAGTCACTGCTTCCTCACTACATAAGCTGCTTTATAATAATATGCCCCTGAGCCTTGTTCCACGTTTTGGGGTGAGTACTCCAGTGTGCAAACTGTCTTTTTGGCGTGTGCACAATAAACTTTTCCTAATTACTACTTTGGCGATTCATTGGTTTTACTTCCAGTATTTATGAACTTTGACACTCCAAATGTCTCAGTGAGTGCAAAATCAATAGGCATGAATATGGGCTACGTGATTGCTCAAGATCCTTCATTTTTAAAAGAGCTTTTAGGCCCCCACTTAAAGACAGCTAAAATGTGCCATGACATTCTTTCATAAAGCACTGTAAATATCTCTCCCACTTAAAAACTATTACCTTAACCTTATCAGGAGGGAGCAAATATTTTTTAAAAAGTTAGCACCATTTCTGGTACATGTAATAGGCATTCACTAAACATTAGTCCCCCTTTACATTCCATCAGTTTTATCATGGTTCATTAGCTCCCAAAATTTGTTCTTCATGGGAATTTCTGTTTCTCAGCTCTAAAATAATGGCAGTGGAAGGATTCTCCAACTGTTACTGACCCGTGTTATATATTGATCAGTATTATGGGATAAACAAAATAAAGCAGGTTTCTTTACCGTGGGCCTTCTCAGAATCCTTCATATGTTAATGTGCTTCGAGACTCCAAGCTGAAAATATGGTTTGAAATATTCTGGACAAACTGTTTTGACCGTCAGTGAAACCATGTGTTTACTGATCATCTCAGGGGACCAATGCTCCAGTTGGAACAATTCTGTTCTTGTGGCTAAAAGCAGATAAATCACCTAGAAGTTCACCTGCTTTCACAAGTCTGTCTGTGTCTTTCCTCTTTGGTTTTGTCTCTACCCCTCCAGCTACCCAACTAGTCCATTTTCTGTCTTTTGTACCCATTCTCTCATTTTCTGTTAAGATCTCTGGGGTATGAATCCTCAATGAACTCAACTGAAGAAATGCTTAATGTGTTAAAACAGAATAAAGCAGGTAATTCTTTTTTTTTTTTTTTCCTTAAAGCAGGTAATTCTTTTTTTTTTTTTTAAGATTTTATTTATTTATTTGACAGAGAGAGAGAGACAGTGAGAGAGGGAACACAAGCAGGGGGAGTGGGCGAGGGAGAAGCAGGCTTCCCGCGGAGCAGGGAGCCCGATGCAGGGCTCGAACCCAGGACCCTGGGATCATGACCTGAGCCGAAGGCAGATGCTTAACTGACTGAGCCACCCAGGTGCCCCTTAAAGCAGGTAATTCTTTGAAAAAATTGTCATGGACCAGAATCTTCTTGCTCATTAGCAGAAGACCTCTTAACAAATGTGAAGAGCCTGGGGAAGGCCTAGAGAGCTAGGAGGAAGGAAATGGAAAAAGAATTAGGACATGGAGAAATGGGTTATGGCCATTATGTGTTCAGCCTGAACAACACAAAGCCCTAAGATGTAGGTATCCTAACTGTCTGCAAGATAGTACTGATTTTTCCTTCAGTGCACTAAGCACTGTGCTATATGTTTTACATGTATCATCTCATTCACTCTTCACCACATCCCTACAAGGTAGGAACTGTTATTATCCTCATTTTACAGATGGGTAATCGAGGTTTAGAGGAATTAAGAACTTGCCTGAATTCTCAACACTGGTGAGTAAAAGAGCCAGAATTCAAACTCAGGTAGTTTGACTCTAGACCCTGTTTCTCAATCAGTATACTGACCTCAGCATTCCAGGGAGAAAAGGTGACGAAAAGTGTTGTTTACAGCATAGAAAGATTAAACCTATTGGCTTAGAATTACGGAGGTGAAAGTTCTATGAAATCTGGATAAGGCCTTGGAAATGAGAAAAGTCTTATAGGACCCTGAGATTTCTTTATTTAGAATCAGAAGCTTCATTGTTTCTAAATAAACAATGCTGTTACATATAGAACTGAGAATTTACAGCCCAAACTCAAGCTTAAGTTTGTTTAGCGAATGGACCAAAATAATAAAACTCTTCTCTAAGAATAAGAAGGGAAATACCTGTTCTCTAACAGTGTCCATAAATCTGCCTTTAGCATAAATTTTGCAAACAGCATTAAAGAAAGACCTCTGGAGTGGAGCCAAATCTTTGAAAACACACTTCAACTCTGTGCTTCACATCATGTTTATAAAGAGTGGGTTATGGCCTTCCAAGGAAGCTGTAAAGGACCATTTTGTGGCTCTTATCTTTTCTTATTCTCCATCCCCAGGCTTCTTAATTGCATTTCACATGAACTCTGTGGGTATTAAATGAAGTTGGGTCCATTCAATATTTCTATTCAATCTTCTCAGAAAATTGGTTCTGTTTTCTTTGGGCAATCCATGGGCAGTGTCTGTAACATTCTGATGATGTGTTTCCCCAGCCATTTTTCTTAGGGGATGCATCCACTATTTTATTTTTAACATAAAATGTTCCAGAGTCATCAGAATCCATCACACTATTTTTAAAAACTTAGCTGTCACTGTTGTCAGGGTTGGTGGAACCCAGTGGGGAAAATCATGGTCCGTTTTCTCTAGCCATTGCTGCCTCTCTGCTAACTGTTAAACCTCTGACTGAATTTCAGTCACTCTGTAATAAAATATTTCCAGTACATGTCCCTGCCAGCTGAAAGCCAAAGCCTGACATTTCCTTGGCTTTTCAGTCTTGACAGAGATACGTGCATACGTCTGACCGAGTAAAGACGTATGGTACTGTGTGCTCCTGGGCTCGGGGTGTCTCCTCAGGTCACTCCATTTTTTTCCTTTCTCACTCTCAGTGGTTACCCTTTTACACTGTACCTTTCACTGTTCCATCTGCTGAGGAAATTGAGCTTCTGTTGGATCCCTTGATTGAACAGGTACTTTTAAGAGGATTAGTGCTGATAGACAAGAAGGTGAAAATGATTTCTTCTGCCTTTTCTATACTCCCAGGTTAGCTCTTAAGTGAAGTTATGGATTGGCATAAAAATTATCCAGCAGGTAGATTCAAAAAGTAGGAAGTAGAAAGATTATTTGAAAAGAAACAGTATCATCACAATATGTTTAATAAGTTTTTATTGACAGGAAAACTTTGCTGTAGATGAGGGGGTTTAATGACCCAGCGCCATGTGGTAAATTATTTTCATTATAAACTTGACTTCAGAATGTAACTTTTAAGTGGGGAAAGATGGACAAGAAAGAATAGAGGATGTATTTATAAACTACTAAGAAAATACCAGCTGTGGAGATGACAGGACAAAATCACATCTGGCCGAAGCATGTGTGGATCCCATGTATAGTCTGTGTAGCATGGCTATTTCTTAGGACATCTCATTAGACACAGCCCATTTCTTGTTCATTCTCTAAATCTACAATCCCATTTGGTTCAGCACCAAGGAGAATTAACTCATTGACACAAAATCATAGAAT